AATCTTAATGACCTCTTCCTTTCTGTCTCATCTTGCACTTAGATGTAAACTATATCCAGTGTATATGGCCCCGCTAGAAAAAAAGATTTGAATGCTTCCTTATGTCAATCCCATGTATACTCAGAATTATTCTAGTTTATGCATACTGTCAGATTCATGTTACCATGCATTTTTGTTAATTAGAATTGTATCTCCTATATTAAAACTTCTGTGCTAATTTTTTAATTTAAATTATTTTATTGTTGTTCAATTACAGTAGTCTGTATTTTCTCCCTCTCCCACCCGCTCTAAACCCACCTCCCTTCCTTGCTTCCATCCATGTGTCCTTTATAGTAGTTTCTGAAGACCTTTCTCCCCACTGTCACCTCCCCCTTCCCCTCTGCCTATTGTTAGATTGTTCTTAATTTCAATGACTCTGGTTATATTTTGTTTGTTTTTTTCTTTTGTTAATTATGTCAGTTAAAGGTGAGAGCATATGGTATTTGTCCCTCACCACCTGGCTTATTTCACTTAGCATAATGCTCTCCAGTTCTATCCATGCTGTCACAAAGGGTATAAGCTCCTTCTTTCTCTCTGCTGCATAGAATTCCATTGTGTAAATGTACCACAGTTTTTTGATCCACTCATTTGCTGATGGGCACTTAGGTTGCTTCCAGCACTTGACTATTGTAAATTGTGCTGCTATGAACATTGGGGTGCATAGGTTCTTTTGGATTGGTGTTTCAGAGCTCTTAGGGTATAATCCCAGCAGCAAAATTGCTGGGTCAAAAGGCAGATCCATTTTTAGTTTCCTAAGGAAACCAAATTTCCTAATGAAATTTCATACTGTTTTCCACAGTAGCTGCACCAATCTGCATTCCCACCAACAGTGCACTAAAGTTCTCTTTTCTCCACATCCTCTCCAATGCTTATTTGTTGATTTGTTTATGATGGCCATTCTGACTGGTGTGAAGTGGTATCTCATTGTGGTTTAATTTGCATCTCTCTGATGACTAGTGATGCTGAGCATCTTTACATGTGTCTCTGGGCCCTCTGTATGCCCTCCTTGGAGAAGTGTCTGTTCAAGTCTTTTGCCCATTTTTAATTGGGTTTTTTGACTTTCTGGAGTATAGTCATGTGAGTTCTTTATATATTTGGGAAATCAAGCCCTTGTCCAAGGTGTCAGTGGCAAATATGTTTTCCCAAATGGTTGGCTCTCTTTCCATTTTAATGCTGTTTTCTTTAGCCATGCAGAAGCTTTTTAATTTGATGAGATCCCATTTGTTTATTTTTCCTTTATGTCCCTTGCTTTAGAGGACATATCCATGAAGATGTTGCTGTGTGGTATGTCTGAGATTTTCCTGCCAATGTTTTTCTCTAGGACTTTTATGGTGCTACGACTTATATTTAAGTCTTTTATCCACCTTGAATTTATTTTTGTGTATTATATAAGTTGGTGATTGAGTTTCATTTTTTTGCGTGTAGCTGTCCAGATCTCCCAACACCATTTGTTAAAGAGGCTATTTTGTTCCATTTTATGCTTCTTCTCCCTTTGTCAAATATTAATTGACCATAGAGACTTGCGTTAATTTCTGGGCTCTCTGTTCTGTTTCATTGGTCTATGTGCCTGTTTTTATGCCAGTACCAGGCTGTTTTGATTACAGTGGCCTTGTAATACAGTTTGATGTCAGGTATTGTGATCCCTCCTGCTTTGTTCTTCTTTTTCAAAATTGCTGCAGCTATTTGGGGTTGTTTATGGTTCCATATAAATATCTGAAATGTTTGTTCTATATCTGTGAAATATGTCATTGTTACTTTAATAGGGATTGCATTGAATCTATAAATTGCTTTGGGTAGTATGGGCACTTTGATGATGTAATTCTTCCAATCCATGAGCATGGCACATACCTCCATTTGTTTGTGTCTTCCTGAATTTCTTTCTTCAGTGTTGTGTAGTTTTCTGAGTACAGGTCTTTTACCTCCTTGGTTAGGTTTATTCCTAGGTACTTTATTTTTCTTATTGCTTAAAACTTCTGTGCTAATTTTTATACTTTGTTTTTAGATATATTCTAGCTTACACTTTCTATTACAAAATGACAGTGGAATAGAATTTCAAATAAAGATGCATTGGCCCATCTTCTTGCTGTGTCCTCACTTGACCTTTTTCCTGTTCCTGCACACCTGTGTTGTGACTTTATTTTCTGATAAAGACACCAGTCATACTTAATTAGGGCCTTACCTTATGACCTCATTTAACCTTAATTATCTTTTTAATCACCCAATCTGTAAATATAGTCACATTAGGGGTCAGGGCTTCAAAATATGGATTTTGAGGATAGCAATGCTATTAATCAAACATTCTATAATACCTCGCCCTTGAAGAAAATAGTAAAATCTTACAGAGGAACATGATAAAGTTATTTATATATCAAATTATATGAAATATAAATTTATATGTAAATTATTTATATGAGATAGAGTTTACAAGTGAATGCACATGAAATAACCCTTAACTCTATTTTATAAGTCTGTCTTAATGGAGCACACAAAGATTTAGCAAAAAATCAGCCCAGCAAACTAGCAATTCACATTTCTACAATATTGTTTGCCAGAAGAGACAAAGAAAGATCTAGAGTCAAAAATGCCAGATGAGACTGCTGTTCTTGTGTCTGTTTTGAGATCAGATCAACAGATTTGGCTTTCAAATGCAAAGCCAAGGCTGAGGCACCTTGGCCACAAACAGGCAGTGCAACAGAGGCCGCTGTAGTGCTGCTGCACCCACACAAGGCTGAGTGTCCTTGTCCCTCCGCAAGCACAGACCACACTGGTCTTTTCAGAACACTACTTCCATGTTCTGTTGGACTGACAATGTCCCCATTCCTGAATTTTGTAATGCTCTGTGTTAAGAGTGCCTGGTTTAGTAAATAAAAATAAAGGGCACCCAGTAAATTTGAATTTCAGATAAACAATGAATATTTTTTTAGTATAAATACATCTCGGGAAATATTTGGGAAATATTTAGAACATAAGTATGTACCATATTTCACCATGGGACATACTTATTCTAAAAATAATATTTGTTATTTATCTGAAATCCAAAATTAACTGTGGGCCTATATTTTATCCGGAAGCTCTACTTTGAGATCAAGATTGAATCCTCTCCTTGCAAATCTATTTCCCAACCACCACCCTCTTAAACTAGTATTACCAACTTTGTAAATTTTATTTTCTGGTCTTAATGTGGTGCTGCCCCAAAGACGAAAACCCCAGGTTTCAGACTGTTCTACTATACTACTGTATAAATGGTTATGAATGCTCAATGTTAAAACATTGAAGTTAGTTTGGCTGAACTTTTCTCTCATGTTGAAGCATTTACATCTGTTTATCAATGCCCCATAATACTACTGTGATGAAATTACTAGAGATGATGTGCTTACTAATGTGGGGAGGACTCTCTAAACCTCTAAATCTTTAAACCCTCATCTCAGTCTACTCACCTGTAAATTCAGGTGATTGAATTCAAGGTGTTTTCCCCAAGGTTCCTACTACCAATTTTTTGCTACAGTTCTTTAAAATGAAGGTTCCATTAACGTTGGCATTTGCCTGGTGAAATCTAATTTTTCTTATTTCAATTTAATCTATTTTTCTCTTCAATTAAGTAGTGTTTAGATTACTAAATAAGTGGCGTTTAGATGACTTGATTAATGGCTTCACCTTTAAAGATGTCTGATCTAAATTACTCAAGTGCCAAAGAATGTACCCTTTATTTCCTTCCAGCCCCCACTCGCCCCTGGCACCAGACTTGGTGCACACTGGGTATCAGATGAAAGTGCTGACCATGTTAAAACAGTTTCATTATACTGGGTTCTGACTGTCAAAATAATTTACTGTGAAGGCGGTGTGAGACCTCTGTCTGGAGCAGCTCGTTGTTCTCTTCCGCCATCTAGCGGCGCCAGGATTGCTCTCGTCCCCTCAACTTGCTGTTCAGAGCTGCAAAGATTTCAAAGATTGTAAATCAAACAAATGAATTGTTTTATTCTTGTCATCACAGTAAAAAGGGGATTTGTAGTGCTTCAAGAGATAAAATGTAATAAATGTTGATAAAAATAAGTGTAACAAAATAGCCGACTTTAATACCTAAATAGTATAGATTAAATTCATTCCATTTAATCTCTTTAATATATTGACGTTAACTTGAATTTTGAAGAACAAAAATATGAACTAGCCTAAAAAGGCTATAAAGAAAGATTATCTTTCTCAAGTGCTCTTGTATAATGTTAAGAATTTTTTAATTTAAAATAAATGTAATCACAGCAGATGAAAATGAAAGCGGGAAAGGAAATAAGGTTCTAACAAACATTGAACTGGTAGAGAATGTCACAGTTCTATATTTAACCATTTGTCTTCAATTAAGTTAGAACTTATTATCATTATTATTTATACATGCAATATAATATTTAATGAATGTTGAGTGATGTTCAGTTTTAATGTCCTATAATCTAAAACTTTCTTCAAACAGCATGATGGTGTGTTTAATTGTGTGAATCTAAAGTGAAAATAAATTTCTCTAATGAATGAAGTAAAATATTTCTGAAGTGTGACTTATTCCCCATTAAAGCTGTTTCCACTGAATAACTATTATAGGAGAAATATTTCTGCGACATTAACATTATTCTAGTTTTCTTTTTATTTTTACTCAAAATATCAATACTGTCATGCAGTATTTAGGTCTTTCTAACAAGATATTTAATTGGAATGTCATTTTGCTTTTTTTTTTTTTTGAAGATTTTTTACTTATTTATCTTTAGAAGGGAAGGGAAGGAGAGGGAGAGAAATATCAATGTATGGTTGCCCCTAGTGTGTCCCCTGCTGGGAACTGGCCTGCAACCCAGGCATGTGCCCTGACTGGGAATCGAACCGCGATTGTCTGGGAATCGATCCACTGAGCTACACCAGCCAGGGCTCATTTTGCTTTTAATACACTTGTGACCCAGCTGAGAAATCTCCCATTTGTTTTCCAGGGTGGGAAAATACCCATAAGGTGGACAGCCCCAGAAGCCATCGCCTACAGAAAATTCTCCTCAGCAAGCGATGCATGGAGCTATGGCATTGTCATGTGGGAGGTCATGTCCTATGGAGAGAGACCGTACTGGGAGATGTCTAACCAAGATGTAAGTGCCGCCCACAGCTGAACACCGCTATGTTGTGAGGGTGAACACATGGGCACTGAGGGGGAAATGTGCCTTTTGCCCTCACTCAGGTTAGGCCTTATCTTCCTGAGAGTTGTTGGGGCCTGTGGCTGAGTTTGAAGAGCTAAGTAACCTCATGCTGAACTGTATTTGGTGTCACAGGGTCCAGCTGATGGGCTTTGCCATGTGAATAGTTGATCCACATCCCACCTCTGAGGCGTTCACACACATTGTTCTAAGGCAGCATAACTGTGCTTGTACTGCATTCAACCTACGAGGGACAAACAAGAAAGAGTAATGTTAACCTGTTATCCTTAGGGCAATTTAATATACCACTGTAAACAGCAAAGTAATTTAGACTACATATTGCTTAGTGGGAATGAATGCTTTCAGGCACTGTATTATCTGTATATGCCATCAGGTATGCCTCTTTAAAGCTACGTACATGACCCTTTATGCAATCTGTTTTGTTTCTGTTATATCCATAGAAATTACCTTGGTGGTAGATAACACTACAGAATAAGATGGTTAACATCCATTTGACCCCTACAACTTGTCCCGAGTGATAGAGACAGCAGTCAGAAAATGCAAGTACCTTGGCTAAAAAAGTGTGCTGTCAGAACTGAAAATATACTTTAATTCCCCATTTCCTCACCTCAGAACTCACACTCATTCTATTCACTTGCCTTCCACAAAGTATCTATGGTTTCTGAGACAATGGCAACAAAAAATCGCCTCTGATGGGATTCTGAATGCTCACAGTTAACAACAAAGACAAGGTAACTATAGACAATCCCTGAACACACCCAGAGTATGACTACTATCACATCTCCTTCCTTTTTTTTCTAATCAGTTGCTTGAGCAACCCCTCCACACCTTACACCTCACTGATCCATCTCAACTTCAAGTTGTCTGAGTATCTGAACAACATAGTCACGAAGTTTATCCTTTCTTAATTTGCTAAGTGTAGAGAACACTGGATTTGGGTTAGCTTACTGTGGTTCCTATTCCTCCCTGGCCTCGAGTGTTACTTTCAAAGCTGAGTCCTACTGGGTCCTGTGGATGCCCCCTCACTCTGTGGAAATCGCCAGGTCTAAAAACGTACATGGCAGCAGGTTTGAGGTTGTACACACCGGTCAGTCATCACTCGCCAAAGCCCACCATCAAAGCACAAAGCCAGCATGGCCAGGTCCTGCAGGGCATCTGCCTTTGAAGTAACAGAGTGTCCTGTAACGAGCCACCTCTGCTCCACTCCCAGCACTCAGACCTTGGGATCCAGGTCATTTGCCTAGGGTCTCTCTACTATTCTTCAGGGAATTTTAATGGAAGGAAATCATTGCTCTTCCCTGCCACTGGGCCTTGTTTGGGACAGCTTATAACTATCACTCCAGTGCTACTTAAAATGGAATGTCACAGGCAGCAACTTGACCCTTCGGTCCCAGAAGGAACTCTTTTTTTTTCTTAACCAGTCATCCAATATAACGGAAGCCCTGGGCTCAGCACCACGGCTCCTGTCCCACTCTAACCCCAGATCATGCTTGCCCTCTTGATTTGGTTTGACCTGATAAAGTAGCCTATTCAAGCAAATCTCCAAAATAAAAATTTCTCCTCCAGGTGGGTTCAAGTCTTCACTGTAGAGAAGAGCTCTTCCTTCAAGTACACTCCTTAACTGGCACCCCATTTAGTCCTTGCCTTAACCCCCTTAACCAGTTTCCTAACAAACTTCAAATGAAAAATTGCCTAACTCAGAAGCCTCCAAACTTTACTAATAATATACACTGCCCAATAAAAAGTTCTTGAGCATTCACAGCTCATGATATATATATATTTGTGTATTATATATAAGAACGACTATACTGATGTAGTCATGTATTCATTTAAAAATATTTATTAGGTGACTTCTCTGCTTCAAGAACTAGAGATACAACAAAAAACAAACATTACACCTGGAAGGGATCATGAGGATTATCAAGTTCAACCCCAGTCCAACTTGATTATGAAAAGGAGGCATAGAGAAGCAACATGATTTCCATAAAATTACAAAATAAGGGATTTAACAGTGATTGTAGAAGACAATGCTAATCACCTTCTAGAATAAGTCGGGGGCAAGGAGAAGAGAAGAGGGAACAGCTGCTTCTTTCCTGGTGGTTTGGGTTTCATAGGCCAGGTGCCTCCCCACGTGGGCCCAGTGACTTCCTGCCCTCGTGGACTTACACTCTGGCCAGAGGGAGGCACGCTGTAAACAATGTAAATAAGTAAAAGATCCAGTATGTGAGAGGATAATCAATGCTTTCTGGGGGAAAGCAAGAACTCAGGATAAGAAATGCTGGCGGTTTGATTTTAAGTATGTCATACGTTATAAAATACATTCATCAAATTCACTCCTTTATGTCCATAAAAGTCCTAATTAATCATGCTTATTAGACCTTCATAAATAGTCATTCTTATAATAGAATAAGACAAATAAACATAAAGAGAACTTCTATGGTTTTTTCCTGCCCCTGATTATTGCCTCACTACCTGGGGTACATTGTACCACAGATTTAGTGACTGTGGCCATTATTATGGAGACGATAAGCATCCATGAAAGTCACTTAACTTTTCAAAGTACCCAAGTTTAATGACCAATAAATACAATAAAAGGACTGGGTTAAATGATTTGTAATATCCCTTTTAACAGGACTATTACATGCTAGTATTTTATAATGTCTGCAGAAATAGTTACCATACTTGACTCAGCAAAGGAGTGATTCAAAGTGTTCTTTTCTGAAATTTAGGACATGCCTGAATTGCTGTGGAGGTGCCAAGAATGAGATAGGGCTTCCACAGAGCAGAGCAGGTGCAAGTGAAGATACCAGATGAAACAGGGTTTGGTTTTTTCTCCCCCTAGAAGAGCAGCCTCTGAAGGAAAAAGCTCAAATGTGAGGTTTCCAACATAGACCCCAAATGTCAATTGTTGCCTACAAGAATCCAAACACTCTTGTCCATCCATTTCTTCCTGGATCTTGCCCAGCAGTTTACCCAGCCATTCTGGCCATGGATAATGATGAGCTATATAGTCAAGATGACCATTTAGAGAGCAATTCTGTCTACTAAACCTCATTTGGCCACAAAGACTATGTCTGGAACCAGGAAGCTACTACAGCCAGGAATAGACTCTTAACATTAAGCCCATTCTCATTCATGCAGGATTGCCAGTGCCCACAGCACAAGGCTGAACTCTCTCCACCCAGAGCTTGGTTGTTTTTCAGGGACCAGGGAGGAGTTAAGCTGGCTATCTTCATGGTCTTCGAGTGCTTACTAAAGTATATTCAAGCAAGAATCTGAAACTTAGAGAACAAGTTCAGGGGATGGGGGCAAGGGATATGGGAAGGAGCCAAACCTTTGAGGTGCTAAGGTCAATACAAGACTGAAGGAAAACAGTAAGAGTGAAAATCTTTTACAAATCTTGTGATTTTTTTTTCTGCTGCAATAAAAAGAGTTGAAATTTTTTTTGGCTTAATATGTAGGAAGTCGACATATCTGTGAAGATGGTATAACCAGAATTTCCATTTGGAAGCTTAATGAAAACTTTCCCAGATGCTCCTCCCCAAACACTGGTTATTCCCTGTCTTGCACTTCTTATTTTTGTGGTCAAAGTATGATTTTATGTTTGACTTTCTGCAACCAAGGTGCATTTTAAATGAGGAAAGTAATGTTTTAGACAATAAAAATTCAACTATGTTCTGTTTGAATATTTTATATTTTTACTACAGTTTGATGAGTTTAGCCCAGCTATGGCTTAATTAAACATGGAATGTTAACATGCTTTATGATTTTTAATGAGTTTAGGAAGTTTTGCATAGTTTTGATGAAAGAGTCCCTCCATTCTGCAGACTGTGGCATTTTTTATACAAACAATTCTGAGCCTGCAGAATTTGTTTTAGTGAATAATATAAGGTTTCCCAAAGGTCAGTGGTATTGTATAAAAAGGAAATGAGAAAAATAGAGTGCACCAGACTAGTCCATGAAAGGCCTAAGAAACATAACAGCAGGTGCACATGCCAGTCACTGGGCCAGGCACGCATGCGGCTAGGGATGCAGAATTAGATAACCCAGTCCTTATTATCCAGGAGCCCAGTATGTAGGTGAAGAGATGAAGTTCTGGCATTTACAAGTCTTTCCCCTGCCACCAAATAGATTGTACACACTTCAAAGACCTCATGCTGTCTACCTTTTTTAAAGTTGATTTTAGAGAGAGAGAGAGGAAAGGAGGGAGAGAGAGGGGTGTTTGTTGTTCCACTTATTTATGTATTCGTTGGTTGATTCTTGGATGTTCCTTGACCAGGGATTGAACCCACCACTTTGGCATATTGGGATGACACTGCAACTGAGCTGTCCAGACAGGGCCTTCCTACCTTTTTTGAACTAGAAATAACATTGTGTGAATGCAGCATCGCTATTTTAAAAATATATGCCAAGAAAGCATGCATACTCTGTTATTCAGGTTCCTTTTGATTATAAACAACAAAAAGCCAAGTCAAACGAAGGTAAAAATTAACATTTTTTTCATGCATGAGACTAAGAAGGTAGCTTAGCAGTGCTCCATCTCAAGGACCATGTGGATTTTTAGTGCTTTTCTGGGTTTGTTGTCCTCGGAGATCTGTTGTCCTCAGATTTTTCTCCTATTGCAAAGCTCTTCTTTGCTGTATCCTTTACACTCCAGAGTTGAGCATTCCAGCTCAAAAACCTCAGCAAAATGAGACCATCCGCCTGTGAAAATTTATGTGCCACTATCAGAGAATTCTGCCTGACTCTGTTAGGGCCCTGCTCAACCCTGAACCAAAATCATGCCAGGAAATGGACACTGTGGTTGGCCCAGCTGGGTTGATATACCAGCCTGTGCACTCAGAGGCCAGGGAAGCACTGTGATTGGCAAGTTCCCCAAAATCACATGGAGTGAGGAATTCCCCAAAGGAAAGCAGTTGTGTTGCCAGAGGTAT